AAAATATAAACGGAATATATTTTGTAATACAGACAGTTTTCATGTAACAGGCTTTTAAGTTTGTTTTAATTATTTTATTTTTGTTTAATATAATTATTCTCTACATTCAAAGATATGACCATTAAAAATTGTAATTTATGTATAAAAATGGAGTTTTATAATTGTTTTTTTTTTCTTCTTTTTTAATACAGGTGGTTATTTTAAAATGTTTTTATAACTAATTAATCAAACAATTTTAATTAAATTTGAGGGTTTGGTTATTTATTTTTTTAGTTTTATTTAAGTTTTCAGTAAGAATATCAGTAAAACAATACTGGGTATTTTAGAAATTTATTTCGTTGCTAATACATGGAAAAAACTTTAGGTTTATTATTGTTTTTTTTTTTTTTTGTTTTTAATGTAAAAAAATTGTGTTTTTTATTAATTTTACTATATATTACATATATTTATTTAAAAAAAAATTATTTTAATATTGTTGTAAAAGTTTTCGAATAACTACAATACATTAATTGAATAAAGCCAAAAATGCAAAAATTTTGTATTATTTAAATTAGTTTTTTTTACAGGGCACTTAAAAATTTGTTTTAAATTCTAAAAATTATTTGAAAGTATTTAAAAGTTCTTTCTTTTCTTTTATTTTAAATATTTTAATATTTTAACTAGGTATACATATTTTTGTAAAAAAAAACTTGGCATTTTTATTAGGTTTTCAAGACAAATTTGTGCGCAAAATGTTTGCTACCATTTTGTTTTTTATATTTTTTTTATTTCGTTATTATTTAAGCATATTTTTATTAATATTAATAATATAGATTTTTATTTAGTTTGTAATAATTTACAGCATTTATCATATGTATTGAATTAAGAGGGGGAAAGATGTACAGTCTACTTTTCACTTGATATTTCTTATAATAAAAATGTTTATTATATTTAATTTAACTAATACCAAATATGTATTGTTAAGAATTTTTATTTTCTTTGCATCTGTGGGAATAATTATATAAACTTGCCTTGGAACACTTTATTTTCTGTTGTTTTATTTAGAATTGTTGTTTTAGAATTTCCATTTATAAAATGACACAAACCTTAATAATTATAATTAACTTAATAAAGTTTAATTTTGGTTTTACTTTTTAGTTTTAAAAAGTATTAAGAAAGCAAGTTTATATAAATATTCACAGAGTTCACTATTTATATGAAAATTTCTTTAGTTGTTTAATTTCTATTTATTACGTTATTCATAAGCAAATTTATGTAGATCAAGAGTGCCATAGATTTAAATTAAATGGAAAAATCTAAAATTATGCTATTAGGAAGTAATCAAATCATTTTGTTTTCTTTTAAAAATCTCTGCTTTATTTCTGTTATTGTTTTAAAAAGGAATGGAAAATTTTAATTTGCGAAAATACAATTACATAGAAACGATCTACAGTGGGACCTCGATTTTCCGAGTTGGTGGTGAATCGAATCACGGATAATCAAGGTTCTACTGTATTTGGAAAATGCTTGCTCTCATATTGATTATCAATTACAAATTATAAATTTTTAAATTTACAAAAAAAAAAACTTCCATAAACCTTAGATAAACTCAAAAACTATTATAAGTCTTTAGATGATACAATGATATGCTGTTATACCAGCGGTATAGAAATAGGTCCTACTGAGAATGTTTAGATTTCCTTTTTATAAAAGTGAAAAGTTTCACTAAACTCCAGTAAAGATTGTAGGCTAAACTTCCAACAACCTTAGATAAACTCAAAAATTATGATAAGCCTTTAGATGTTAAATTAATATGCTGTTATAACAGCGGCCTTGAAATAGGTCCTACTAAGAACGTTTAGTTTTTCTTTTTACAAAAGTGAAATGTTTCACTAAACTCCAGTAAAGACCAGACTGGCTAGACCAGACTATAGACCAGGCTATAGACAAGAATATAGACAAGACTATAGACTAGACTATAGACACTATAGACTAGACTCTAAACTATACTACAGACTAGACTATAGGCTACACTATAAACTAGACTATAGTCTAGACCATAGATTAAACTAGAGACTAGATTATAGACTATAGACAAAACTTACTATAGATGAAACTGTAGGCTACACCATAGACGAAACTATAGTCTAGAGTTGGCTATAGACTAGACTGTAAATTAAACTATAGTCCAAACTATAGAATATACTATAGACCAGGCTATAGATTACACTATATTATACTACAGACGAAACGATAGACTAGACCATAGTCGAAACTATGGACTAGACAATGGACTACACTATAAACTTGACTATAGACTAGACTACAGACTTTTATATAGACTAGGCTATAAACTAGACTATAGACGAATCTATAGAAGAAGCTATAGACTAGACCATAGTCGAATCTGTAAACTAGACTATAAACTATACTATAGAATAGGCTACAGACTATGCTGTAGACTAGACTATAGATTAAACTATAGAGACAAAGCTATGGTTTATTCTAGCCTAGACCACAGACTCGACTATAAACTAGACTATAGACTAAACTATAGACTAGACTATAGAGTAGACCATAGACAAGACTATAGACTAGACTATAGATGAAACTATAGACTAGACTTGGCTACAGACTATGATATTTGATCTGAAATACTGGCCCCTATTCTGCATTTCAATTTGAATTGAAATTTTCTCCGTTTGACAACTTTGGTATTCTGCATTTCGATCCGACTCTCCGCCACATAAACAACAACTTACAAAAACGTAGGTACAATCGTAACGCAGAATACACACATTCGTAAAGCATTGTTTTCTTACGATTCAGTTTTTTGTTGGAATACCTTTTTTCGATCGTTGCGTAACTGAATACGTAAACGTATTCGAAATGCAGAATAGGGGTGACTATTTATTTGTAGTCAAGAAAATGTCCGGTAAGATTTGTTTGTATAAGCTGATCTTTTTAAAAAAAATTAGACCAGATTGCCTAAGGAAATGGCTCAAAGTTGATTAATCCCGAATTCGTCTAAACAGCTCAAAGTCGACTCGGTAGCACGAACTAAGCATTAATAAAATTAATGCGTTTTTCGAAGAAGCACCAAATTAGAATCGCAACGGCTGTTATGAGGTGACTTTAGTCTGATGAAAACTAGGGAAGTTTATGAACAATTCAATGATGCAATTGTTGGAAACAATTTTTAACAAATTCATCTTCTTAAAAATATGGTACTATAGAATTAAGACAAAGTAGACGGCTCATGACTTTTTGGTAACTAAGCATCAAATGAATTAGTAAGTTTTTCACAGAAAATGGCTGTTAGAAGGCGACTCCAATGTGTTAAAATTTGGAAAGATTATAAACAATTGCATGAATCAAATGTTTGAGCTAAATGAACAGTTCTTGACAAAAAAAAAAAGTATTTGCTACTTATTTTTTAATGACCTGTTTTTTAAATTATATATTTTCTCTTTATTATTAAACAAATTAATAAATTCCATCTATTTCTATGTAGCTTGTATTTTCCACAATATAAAATTAAAATAAATTTCTTAAATATGTATGTATTTGTGATGTGGTTAATGTTTTCTTTTTATATAAATAGTTTCTTTATGTAGTTTATGTTAGTGTTTTTTTTATTAAGATTCTAAAGACCTAATGGCACTTTTATATTAATATTAGTATGTTTTATATTTTCAATTTTTTAATTTTTGGTAAATTTTTTTTATTAATTTTAGAAAGATTGCATCAAAATTTTACATTAATTGTGAAATAAAACTGTTACTAAATACTAGAGTAAGAAAAAAAAAAAGATAATTGCAAAAAAACTTGGTTTAAAATCGCTTAAATCACATTTTTTTAATAATTAAAAAGAAAAACTTAATATTTTGTTTGTTTAAATCTTAATAAATACGTATTTTTTTAAACTACATATTTTGCTCAGTAATAATAATTGTTTATTTTTCATTATGCATTTGTTATTTTGCAGTATATTTTCAAATATACATTCAATACATATAAATTACATTAAAATTGAAATAAAATTTTGGCAATATTTATTATTTTTTGTTAATATTTAGTTGTCACTAATAATATAATAAAACATATTATTATAGTTTTGTTTTTGTTAAATGTTACGTTTGTTTCTTGTAAAATAGCACATTAATACATATTATTATAAGTATCCTTAAAAAATGCACTATTTGTTGGTATAATTATAATTGTATATTGTATAGTAATGTACGTTTAATATATTCTACTACAAAATAAAAAAGAGAAAGGTTAAAGGGACAGATCTACAGTTATATGCATGTATGTATATACGGATATATAAAATTTAAGTTTAAATATTTATTTTTAAAACTAATTCGTTTAAGTTTAGCATATTTTCATTTTAATTTTGTTTTTCTCATATTTTAATATTGTTAATATTTAATGTGAATATTTCGCAATTTAATTTAATTGTATACGAAGCGTGGGTATTGGTTATTGTTTGGAATTATATATAGTAGATCGGCTTTTCAAAACAATTGTGCGGAGTGTATATAATTTTTTATTTCAATTACTTTAGGATGTTTTGTTGTCAGCATATTATTGACTTCGTTTGTTCCATTATTTGTTTAAACCATAATTTACATGTTGAGTCTGAAAAAAAGAAAGTAATGCAAACATTAGTTAATAAGTAATTATTTGATCTGAAGTACTTATAAAAGAATATGTTTATTTGTGGTAAAGAAAACTTTTAGTTTTATTAGTTTGAACAAATTGAGATTTTTAAAAAACATTAGACTAGATTGCCGAAGGTAATGGTTTGGCATGTGCCAGAGAACAGTACCTATATATAAGTGCTGAAGGAGGCGTTACAAAGTCGAGTAAGGATTCTGATAGAGGTTTTGAGAAGGTATTGTAATAATAGGGCTTTTATGAGGAAATTGGGACACTTGCTATATTCAGCACTAAGTAAAGTACATTACAAGTTAAGTAGGTAGTAGTAAGTAAGTAAGTAAGTTAAGTAAGTAAGTAATAAGGTAGTAGGTAAGTAAGTTAAAGTAAGTAAGGTAAGTAAGTAAGTAAGTAAGTAATAAGTAAGTAGTAAGTAAGTAAGTAAGTAAGTAAGTAAGTAAGTAAGTAAGTAAAGTAAGTAAGTAAGTAAGTAAGTAAGTAAGTAAGTAAGTAAGTAGTAAGTAAGTAGTAAGTAAGTAAGTAAGTAGTAGTAAGTTAAGTTAAGTAAGTAAGTAAGTAAGTAGTAATACGTAAGTAAGTAAGTAAGTAAGTAAGTAAGTAGTAAGTAGTAAGTAAGTTACGTAAGTAAGTGTATTAAGTAAGTAATTCAGTTAGTAAGTAAGTCAGTAAGTCAGTTAAATAATTCATAAGTAACTAAGTAATAAGTAAGTCAGTTACGTCGTAAGTACCGTCATTAGTAAGTGAAGTAAGTATCGCGTAAGTAATTAATTAGGTCAGAATAGTTAAGTAGTTAAGTTAGAGTGAGTAGTCCGTCTTAATGACTCGGGTTCGTGTTGGGTTTTCGTACCGTCCGTCCGTCCGTCCGTCCGTCCGTCCGTCCGTCCGTCCGTCCGTCCGTCCGTCCGTCCGTCCGTCCTCCGTCGTCGTCCGTCGTCCGTCCGTCCGTCCGTCCTCCGTCCGTCCGTCCGTCCGTCCGTCCGTCCGTCCGTCCGTCCGTCCGTCCGTCCGTCCGTCCGTCCGTCCGTCCGTCCGTCCGTCGTCCGTCCGTCCGTCCGTCCGTCCGTCCGTCCGTCCGTCCGTCCGTCCGTCCGTCCGTCCGTCCGTCCGTCCGTCCGTCCGTCCGTCGTCCGTCGTCCGTCCGTCCGTCCGTCCCGTCCGTCCGTCCGTCCGTCCGTCCGTCGTCCGTCCGTCCGTCCGTCCGTCCGTCCGTCCGTCCGTCCGTCCGTCCGTCCGTCCGTCCGTCCGTCCGTCCGTCCGTCCGTCCGTCCGTCCGTCCGTCCGTCGTCCGTCCGTCCGTCCGTCCGTCCGTCCTCGTCCGTCCGTCCGTCCGTCCGTCCTCGTCCGTCCGTGTCCGTCCGTCCGTCCGTCCGTCGTACGTCCGTCCGTAAGTAAGTAAGTAAGTAAGTAAGTAAGTAAGTAAGTAAGTAAGTAAGAAAGTAAGTAAGTGAGTAAGTAGTAAGTAGTAAGGCAGTGGCCTAATCGACTCAGAAATTTATTCTTAACCGATTGTTATACTTTAAGGTGGAATAGGACTAACATTTTTATGCGTTAATAACATTTCCTGTTCTTGTTGAATTTATGTTTATTATTTTACATTATAAAACTTTAAACTTTTCGGTCAACAATTTTTCGGTCATTAACAGTTTGTTTATTATTAAATAAAATCACAAACTAATTGCCTTATACATTTTCAACTTTTTTGTCTATATCTTTAAAAAAATATATTGATAACATTTTCTATAACGATAAGCAAAACTAATACCTCGAACAAATAAATAAAAAAAATTATATAAAAAAAATTTTAAAAACAAACAGTATAGAAAAAATGTTTGCTATAATTAACAAAAACAATTTATAAAATTTTCATTATTATCAAAACTTGATGTTAGTTGCAAAAAGACAAAAAAAAAATATTGTCTAGCGTAATTTTATATGTACATGAATGTATAAAATTTTAAAGTCATATTAGTACCTACAATACGTTAGAGTATAGATACATTTTCAAAACAAATTATTGAAGGTTACAATGTCACTATTATTATTATTATTTTTTTTTAATTTGTGTTTTTTGTTTTATTTTTGCTTTTCCTAATACATAAATATTACTAATTTATTCATATTCTCATCATTGTAGTTAATTTCAGTATTATTTTTGGAGTTTTGCAATTTAATAATAAATATTATTTGGTTTTTATATACATAACATTTATCCTCATTAATTTGTTATGATTTCCGATCATATATTTTGGGACATTGTTTAATAATTATAAAGCAAGTCTTGACTAAAGACCAGTCTATAGAATTGACTATAGACCAGATTATTGAATTGACAATAGAAAAGTCTATAGTCAAGTCTATAGTCAATACTATAGGTTTTTTAAATAAATATTTGCTATATTACAAGCCTAAAATTTTATTATAGACTAAAATTTTATAACCTTATATTTAAAAAACAAGATGTACAATATTAGACATAATTATCATACAAAATTAAATTTCCATCCCCAATAATACAGAGATATAATTTATAACCCCTTTACTTTGATAAAGTAAACAAACATTTTTTTTAATATTTTAACCCTAGAAATGAATGTGATGAGTCATAAAGTAAAATTTAATTGGTGAATGATTTGCTTTTCTATATATTTTTTTTTATATATAAATAATAGATATTTCTATTATTTTTGTTATAAAAAATAAAATAACAAAAAAAGCAGTTAAATTTTAAACAATAATTACAGTTGTTCGTTGCTGTTTAATCTAGAAAATTTTCAATACAATAAGCAGAGGGCCAGCTATGTATGTATGTATTGGAAAATAGTAAAATGATCAGATTGCAAGTATTATTAGTATAGTCTAGTATATAGTCAAGTCTATATTCTAGTCTATAGTCTAGTCAATAGTCTAGTCAATAGTCTAGTCTATAGTCTAGTCAATAGTCTAGTCAATAGTCTAGTCTATAGTCTAGTCTATAGTCTAGTCTATAGTCTAGTCTAGTCTATAGTCTAGTCTAGTCTATAGTCTAGTCTACAGTCTAGTCTACAGTCTAGTCTATAGTCTAGTCTATAGTCTAGTCTACAGTCTAGTCTATAGTCTAGTCTATAGTCTAGTCTATAGTCTAGTCTATAGTCTAGTCTATAGTCTAGTCTATAGTCTAGTCTATAGTCTAGTCTATAGTCTAGTCTATAGTCTAGTCTATAGTCTAGTCTATAGTCTAGTCTATAGTCTAGTCTATAGTCTAGTCTATATAGTCTAGTCTATAGTCTAGTCTATAGTCTAGTCTATAGTCTAGTCTATAGTCTAGTCTATAGTCTAGTCTATAGTCTAGTCTATAGTCTAGTCTATAGTCTGTCTATAGTTCAGTCTGGTCTATAGTCTAGTCTATAGTCTAGTCTATAGTCTAGTCTAGTCTATAGTCTAGTCTATGGTCTAGTTTATAGTCTAGTCTATAGTCTAATCTATAGTCTATATTCTAGTCTATAGTCTAGTCCATAGTCTAGTCTATAGTCTAATCTATAGTCTAATCTATAGTCTAATCTATAGTCTAGTCCATAGTCTAGTCTATAGTCTAGCCCATAGTCTAGTCTATAGTCTTGTCTATAGTCTAGTCCACAGTCTAGTCTATAGCCTCGTCTATAGTCTAGTCCATAGTCTAATCTATATTCTAGTCTAGTCTATAGTCTAGTCTATAGTCTAGTCTATAGTCTAGTCTATAGTCTAGTCTATAGTCTAGTCTATAGTCTAGTCTATAGTCTAGTCTAGTCTAGTCTATAGTCTAGTCTATAGTCTAGTCTATAGTCTAGTCTAGTCTATGGTCTAGTCTATAGTCTAGTCTATAGTCTAGTCTATAGTCTAATCTATAGTCTGGTATATAGCTTAGTCTAGTCTAGTCTTATATTTTATTATATTTGTCATAGCAAATATAATATAAAGATTATTAAGAAAATATTAATTTTCTTTAAAAATAAGAAACGATCCTAGCAAAATGGTTTTTAATTTTCACATATGTTTTTTTTCCATTTGACAATAGTTAGAGAGAAACCACCACTACTATTTAGGCTAACGACAATAAAATAACATTATAGTGTGGAAAGAAATGCAATGTGAAAAATGATCAGTGTCATCACACTTTACAACAATAAAAATATAAAAATACATATGTGTTATATGGCATGTACGTACAATTTCATACATATGTATGTAAGTATGAAATTGTATAGTAGTGAGCAGAAAAATAGTCAAACTTATTTTTCTAACAGCAATGGAAACACGCTTAAAATCTTTGAACTCCTATATTCTCCCATAATATTCCAATTGTTTTCTTATTATTTATTTAACATATGTTTTCAGTAATGGCAATTCAATCAATTCCTATTCTATTATTATACTCCATAATGTAAAAAAAATATTACAACAAAATTACTACACAAAGTAAAAATAATAATAATAATGAACACAAAATGCAACGACGAATATGTTTTATAGTTTAAAAGATAAGAAAGAGCAACAAACAAACATTGGGTACTTAACATACTCCATATACGCTTCATATGCATTTAACAATAACGACAACCAAACATCTAAATATATCAACAGAAGACACTTAAGGTTTTGCTAGACTTACAAAACTATAATTAGATTTAAAGGAGAATTTATATAGTAAAAGAAAAAATGGAAAAATTATATACTGCGCGGATAAAATAAAGAATATGTATGTACTTTAAACATAAGATTTTAGAATCGGATTTTATTTTTGAAAAAAACTTTAACAAGAAAACGTCAAAAGGTGGCGCCAGTTTAGTATATTACTATATATACTATACAAAATTAATAAATACTGCTACTTACATAGTATATTTTACACATTTCATTGTTGTAACTTTAAATGCGTCATTACTGCATTTCCTTTTGTACGAAATGATTGGAAGTTTCTTTGTTAAAAAGTGACTGTTTAATAGTAA